CATGGCATTCTCAGCAATTTTTATTCATAGACATTTCCTGCTTAATAATCCTTACATTTGGTATAGTAGCTTTCATGTTGGGAGGACATCTCACAGTGCTTCACAGGATAATAATAATAATCCTTGCATTTGATATAGCGCCTTATAAGGTCAAAGCACTTCACAGAAAGTGAATTGACTGTATATTTTGTGAGTGAAACATGGCAGACAATTGCGCACAGCAGTGTCCACAAACAGTCGTGGATTGAGGGACCAAGTTATTATTTTTTTATTTACTTATTCTTTAATAGAAACCCTGAAACATAGGAACAGGAGCAGGCCATTCAACCCCTCGAGCCTGTTCCTCTATTCTATAAAATCATGGCTGATCTGTACCGCAACTCCAATTACTTGCTTTTGGCCCATATCCCTTGATACCCTTACCTAACAAATATCTATTGAAGTATTCTTTAAAAAAATGAATGGATCCAGGATCCACAGCCTTTTGTTGGAGATTTTGGTGATTTTAGCTATTTTTCAAACCCCACATTCGTGCCATGACATGTTCCCCTTTCCACACCTCCGCAACATTGCCCGCCTCCATTACTGCCTCTCACCGCAGTGACTTCATCCATACTTTCATTCCACCTCAGCTTGATTATGTCAACTGCCTGCTCCAGCGCCTTGGGACGTCCTCCTGACGTGAAAGGCGCTTTATAAATGGAATCTTGTTGTTGTTGTTGTTGTTGCTCACTGGACTTCCCAACTTTTCACTCCACAAGCTGTGGATTATTCAGAACTCTGCAGCTCGTGTCCTCTCCCGCACCAGGCTTTGGAAACCTATCAACCCCGTTCTTGCTCGGCTTTCTCTGGCTCCCCAGTCCTCAGATAATCGAATACAAAACCCTCATTCTTACCTTCAATGCCCTCCATGGTCTTGCTCCCCCCTACCTTTCCGACCTCATTACCCCATATCAGCCTGTACGTTCCCTCTGCTCAGCGGACACCGACCTGCTTCAGGTTCCCCGCCCTTCCCGCCCCACCATTGGTGATCCGGCATTCAGCATCGCTGCCCCCACAGTCTGGAACTCTATCCCACAATCCCTTCACCTCACACTTTCTCTTGCCTCCTTCAAGTCCCGTCTGAAGACCTTCCTCTTCGATCGTGCCTTCGGCCACCCTCCCACCCCCTGCTCTCCTCTCCTTCCGATCCCAACTCTCAACTCAGGTCCAAAACCCCTGATTGTCCAGTTCCCTGGGACATCTTTCCGACGTGAAGGGCTCTATCTATTCATCCAAAGGACAGCCCTTCCAACAATGCAACACATCATAAGCACTGGACACGTGGTGAAACCCAGCACGTCATATGTCTCTTTGTGCTTTGTTTACACTGTGTGAATGCAGTTTATTGGACAATATTACTATTAAAACCTTTCTTCTACACCCGACTTAATTCAGACATGTTGAATATCTCACCCACATTCACTGAATGTTTTAAGATTATACTTGAATCTCTCAATACTCAGCACTTAAAGAAGCTGCTGCTCAAGACACTCAATGATCTTTAGCGTCCACCTGGACAGGCGGACGGTACCTCGATTTAACATCACCTCCAACAATACAGCACACCCCTAGCACTGCACTGGAGTGTCCACTGTGAATATAAGTCTCATCATGGGGTTTGACCCCACAACCTTTGGACTCAGAGCTGAGAGTGCTACCAACTACGGAAGGCTGACACCTTCCCCCAAGGTTGCCAAGTTGGTGTATTTCCCGTGGATTTGTGCTTCTTTTTTTCAATCGCTTGATCATTTTGGGGGAATCGCAGTTTGTATTTTAGGGCTTGTTTTAATAAGAATGCACTTGATTGAGCTTGAATCGTCTAACCATGGTTGTCAGTTTTAAAAAGATACAGTGCATCCAATCAGCACCATGATGTGATGTAGCCCTAAAATGGCACTCTAGAAGTAAAGAGGATATGTGGTACTAGGAATCCAGGTTAGAGATGGGAACCGTTGCAGTCTTCCCAAAGTTAAAGGGTAATGCTATCTGGCTGAGAATTCTCTGCGTTGAAATGCTAATTGTGAGTTTGTGTGCCCACAGCTGAATCTGTGTATAAGTAATTCAGATGGAAAGTGTAGCACAGTCATTGTCGAAGATTTTCAGGTGAAAGGTACATGAGAAATAAGCAATTTTTGTTTGGCGTGAAGGGTGACGTTTTGAGTGGAGCTACTCTTGTGGAGCTAAGTGGTATGAATTTAATTCAATTGTGCGATTAATTATATCTATGTCTAACTACAGGGTGTCCGCAAAGTCCTGCAACCCCATGCTTTTTTCTACAGTGCATTGATCAACAACTGAAACATGTGGAAGAATGATGATAATCATATTTAGAAGTACGTAATTAACAGAGTAATATTTGGGGGTGCACTTTTTGGAACCGTTCCTTAAAATCACTATGGACATTTTCCATTGTCTTTCTGGTCCTTGGTCATTCATGGACCCAAGTACTGACCACAACACGCTCCTCGATGGTGCAGCTGCCTACTGGTATCAGACATTAATATACTCGACTCATTTGCAACAGAAAATAAAGTTTCATTATAAGAAAAAAAAATAAGGGGTAACATGACTTTGTGAATGCCCTGTACAGTTGTTGGATTAGGACAGTATGAGTGAGTAAGCACATATTTTATATTTTTTTCCTGTGTGGAGGACTATGCTATAGGTTTTAAACAGTGCTTAACATCCGTGCCATGACCCTCTCTGCCTTGGCCCCACCTCCGCAACATCGCCCGGCTCTGCCACTGCCTCACCCCTCAGGCTGCCAAAACTTTTATTCACATGTTCATCACATCTAGGCTTGACTACGCCAATCCCCCGCTTGTCGGCTTCCCCAACTCTTCCCTCCACAAACTGCAGATCATCCAGAACTCTACAGCTTGTGTTCTCCCCTGCACCAGACTCCATAACCCCATCATCCCCACCCTCGCCCGGCTCCACTGGCTCCCCATCCCTCAGAGGATCGAGTTCATAATCCTCGCCCTCGCCTTCAAGGCCCTCCACGGCCTGGCTCCTTCCTACCTCTGTGACCTGCGAATCCCATATCAACCTGTGCTCTCCCTCCGCTCAACAGGCTCTGACCAACTCCACCTCCCCCGCCCGGCCCACCCCACCATCGGTGGTCGGGCATTCAGCCTCTCTGACCCCACCCTATGGAACACCATCCCACAGTCCCTTCGGCTTGCTCCCTCCCTCGCCTCCTTCAAGGCGTATCTCAAGACACTCCTCTCCGAACGCGCATTTGATATAGCTCTTTTCACGTCGGGAGGACGTCCCAAAGCGCTTCACAGAACACACTGTAAAGTGAATTACTGTATATTTGTGGGCGAACGCGGCAGCCAATTGCGCACAGCAATGTCCCACAAACAGTCGTAGATTGAAAATGACCAATTTAATTATTGTTTTTTGTTTTGGAGGGATTATTATTAGGCTCTGTGTGGAGTAAGGAAACTTGCCCAAGGTTTCGCCCTGTGCCTGGAATTGAACTCAGGTCTCTCACTTGTAAAGCGAGTGCTCTAACCACTGAGCTACAGGACTCCTACCCTCCACCCTCCCACCCACCCTCCCCGAATCCACCCCCAGCTCAAGTCCAAATCCCTGACTGCCCAACGCCTTGGGACGTCCTCCTGACGCGAAAGGCGCTTTGCAAATGTCATCTTGCATCATGTTAACGTCGGGTCGGTTCGGGTCGGTTTGGGTCGGTTCGGGTCGGATCGGGTCGGGTAGGGTCGGGTAGGGTAGGGTCAGGACGGTTCGGTTCGGTTCAGGTCGGTTCAGTTCGGGTCGGTTCGGCTCGGGTCAGTTCGGGTCGGTTCGGGTCAGGTCGGTTCAGGTCAGTTCGGGTCAGTTCGAGTCGGGTCAGTTCGGGTCAGGTCGGTTCGGGTCGGGTCGTTTCGGGTCGTTTCGGGTCGTTTCGGGTCGGGTCGGGTCGGGTCGGGTCAGGTCAGGTCGGGTCGGGTCGTTTCGGGTCGGTTCGGGTCGGTTCGGGTCAGTTCGAGTTGGGTTAGTTCGGGTCGGTTCGGGTCGGGTCGGTTCGGGTCGGGTCGGGTCGGTTCGGGTCGGTTCGGGTCGGTTCGGGTCGGTTCGGTTCGGGTCGGTTCGGGTCGGTTCGGTTCGGGTCGGGTCGGGTCGGTTCGGTTCGGGTCGGTTCGGGTCGGGTCGGTTCGGGTCGGTTCGGGTCGGTTCGGGTCGGTTCAGTTCGGGTCGGTTCGGGTCGGTTCGGGTTGGGTTGGGTTGGTTCGGGTCGGTTCGGGTTCGGGTCGGGTTCGGGTTCGGTTCGGGTCGGTTCGGGTTCGGGTCGGTTCGGGTTCGGGTCGGGTCGGTTCGGGTCGGGTTCGGGTCGGGTCGGTTCGGTTCGGGTCGGGTTCGGTTCGGGTCGGTTCGGGTCGGTTCGGGTTGGGTTGGTTCGGGTTCGGGTCGGGTCGGTTCGGGTCGGTTCGGGTCGGGTCGGTTCGGGTCGGGTCGGGTCGGTTCAGTTCGGGTCGGTTCGGGTCGGTTCGGGTTGGGTTGGGTTGGTTCGGGTCGGGTCGGTTCGGGTCGGTTCGGGTCGGGTCGGGTCGGTTCGGGTCGGTTCGGGTCGGGTCGGGTCGGGTCGGGTCGGTTCGGGTCGGTTCGGGTCGGTTCGGGTCGGGTCGATTGTTTTGAGGAGCAAATAGTTGAAAAGTCTGTGGTTGAAAAATCCAGCAACGTGGCCGGACTGGGTGTGTTTCGTGGTTGTGCGTGAAAGAAAAACACAGTAACTTTTAACATTTCAAATGAAACCTGAAAAAACCTTTTACTCCCCCCTTCTCCTCCCCCCCCCCTCCTCTCTCTCTCTCTCTCTCTGAAGAGTTTTTTTCACACTCCGTTTCAAAAGCGCTCAACCGGATTGGCCGCTGCGGCGGCCCGTAGGCGGCCACGCGTCATATCGGGCTACTTTTTGGGCTACAAAAGGCTCTCGCGCTGGTGTCCTCGCGGGCGCGGGCAGAGCGGGTCGGTGACGGTTCCCCGCAGCCGCCGCTACTGCTGCTGTGTGTGAGGGGGAGGGGGAGGGGGAGGAGATGCTGGTGGTGATAATGGGGGTCAGCGGCAGCGGCAAGTGAGTCACACACAGAGAGCGCGCGCGCGCGCCCGCGAGCCGCGCCCGCGCTGTGCGTGAGAGGCGCAGCGGCCGCTTCTGCGGATGTTCAGAGGCCACACACACACACACAGAGAGAGAGAGAGAGAGGGGATGACCTGTGGAGCTCAGGGACAGAAGCAAATCATAATCATAATCCTCGCGTTTTGATACGGCGCCGTTATCGGGTCTTCGGGACGTCTCGAAGCGCTTCACAGGATAAGGCTGTAACCTGAATGGCTCGTGTGTGTGTGTGTGTGTGTGTGTCTTGTGGGCGAAACGCGGCAGCCGATTCCGCACAGCAGTGCCCCACTAACAGCCGTGGATTGAGTGACCAAATTATTGTTATGTTTTATTCTACCCGTCTTGTTTTTCTTTTACAGTATTTTCCGTGGTCCTCCGGCATTTCTGTTCTGCACCTTTTATCAGTATTCGAATATTTTTAATACAGAGCTCCCATGTTGTCTGGTAGATTGCTAGCGCTAGATTTGCAAAAAAAAAAGTTGATTTTAAGCACATATATCATTGTCTAAAATCCACAAATTGCATTGCAAAATGAAGCCGTTTTGCAGTATCCCGTACAGTTTCACCCACTAAGTACACAGTCACTACACTTTACACTATATCCTTTGATGTGCTTTGAGGCACCTTGAAGACGTGATATCAAATGCAAGGATTATTGTTGTTGTTATGCTGGTACCAGTGCCTCCCCTGGATCTAACTAATCTTAATTCTGTGCACCCATGTCATTTACTCAGGATGAGAGATTACAGCCCATGTGTCACTACTTCCCCTAAAACACTAGTAGTTGAACAAAAAAAAATCCAAACAGCTGTGTTATGGAGCTCAACAGCTGACATTTCCGCCGGAGACCACAGTAACATGTGTCCAATATGTGCTGTGCCATCTGTCAGCTGTCGCACACCTAATAGTGAAACACCCATGTCCTCGCTGATTCTGTCGCTCACTGCACTCTGCAAAGCGCAAACGATTGTGTTTGTTCTAGTAATTTGTTCACAATTTAGTAGATTCACAATATAAATGGTGCAGAATAACATCCAGGATGTCGTAAAATGCAAAATTTGTTGGAAATCAGAGATCACACATGTCTAAATCCAAACAAGAAAATGTAATTTTTGAGCTAGTTGTGCTTTAACTGCTGGTAACATTATATTAAGACATTTGTCTGCTGTAGAAAGACGACTATCTTAACGCAAGCTTTAGGGAAATATTTAAACAAGTTGTGGCTTAGAACCACTGTCACACTGAAACCTAAGATCTGGTTACAGATGTATTCAATCTATGTGTATTTAGGACCATGTTACTAAGACTTATTATGACTTTCTCTTAAAGAGTTTTGAGAATTGCTCACTGCATTAAAAACTTTTCATGAAGCAAAGGAAACTGCACAATTAATTTTCTAACTCCAAGAGCGTTGTACTACAATATATTCAGCAAATCCCAAATTGCCAGTGAAATAATAGGCCCCATATGAAGCAGACTATGGATTCTTAAGTACATTGTGCTGCAACTAAAATCATGACTGTTACTAATTTGTGCATTGTAATCCTGTAGCTCAGTAGTTAGAACACTTGGCTCACAAGCGAGAGGCCTGGGTTCGAATATTGGGCAAGTTTCCTTATTGCACACACCTCTGTTTCCCTAGTAGTAAATAGGAACCCGGTTGATAGTCGATTGGCGGATTGCTTTTTGGGGGTAATAATTCCTTCAATAAAATAATTATAATAATAAATTGGTCACTCAATCCACGGCTGTTTGTGGACACTGCTGTGCACAATTGACTGCCGCGTTTCGCCCACAAAGTATATACAATCAATTAACTTTACAGTATATTCTGTGAAGGGTTTTAGACGTCTAGGAGACGTGATAAGGTGCTATCTCAAATGCAAGGATTATCTTTTATTATTTTATCAAATCTTATTTGCTGCAGAAGGAGAATTATGAAATTCATTTTATAGTAGTTTCAGTTTGAGGCTTCTTCTGAGGGAGTTGTTTGGATAGACGTGCTTTGAAATGTTTAGACAGCAGATTTATATTTCACTGTATTTTCCTCCTAGGACTGCTGTGGGTTCATGTCTTGCAGATAAGGTAACCATCAACAGCTTCTGACAATCATTCGTAACATGAAATTCTTCATTTTCTTTCATCTGAAATGCAGTCACAACTCAAGTTTAATTTCCCTCACTGATGAGGTAATAATAATAATAATCCTTGCATTTGATATAGCGCTTTTCACATCTTCTAGACGTCCCAAACACGTAGCCCCATTCGAAAAGAGAAGGGCGTTTCACCCGCTGTCCTGGCCTAACAATCCCCCAAATAAAATTGTTCACTCACTCCATAGCTGTCTGTGGGACATTGCTATGCGCAAATAAATGGCTGCCACATACGTCCACAGAATACAGTCAATCCACTTTACAGTATTCCCTGTGAAGCTCTTTGAGACATATCGACGGCATGATAAGGTGTTATACCAAATGCAAGGATTATTATTATCCGCCCACTAATAAAGAAGTTATGTTAAGAGGCAGCACTGAAAAAGCTGAAGAGGGAAGACAGGATGGTATTCTGACAAAGCTCAACAGTAATGAATAGTCACGCCTGCAATTCCTTATTCCTGGTGTTGAGTTGTTTTCTGGTGAGAGCCTTGAGTGAAGGAAATAGGGAAGAGTGTAGGACAAGTCCCCTAGGTTACTCTTCATGATACTGTGAATCGACTTCAAAAATAGCAACCCTCAGGTCTGTGCAGCTCGGTAAAGGTAACAAGAACACTAAGCACACAAACAGAAGGTTGCATAATCTGTAGTTGAACTACTCCAACTTCCAAGGTTAAGCAACAATGAATATAACGCTAGTTTATAATGATATAACAATTTGTTTAATGTTGTAAAAAAAAATGTGACTTTTTGTTTTAATAGTTGGGATGGGAACTCTACGATGCAGATGACTATCACCCTAAAGAAAATAAAGAAAAGATGATTAAAGGAATACCATTAAATGATGAGGTACATTAGCTGTTTTTATTATTATTATTTTGCCATTGACAGGCCAATCTTGCTATTATGCATCTCGTTAGAGCATGGTCTGTTTTTAATGTGGATGCCCTGGGAACCTGTGGTTAAGGCAAGTGTAGTACACTTTGGCTTCCAGCGGACTGCCTGGAGCTCAAAAATGGCCAAATGGTCAGCAGGTCGCCACTGTTGTCACTTCTGACAGAAAGGGACATCAGCAGAGACCTGTGAAGCAGACATGATTAACCTGTGCAGCACTATGGGTGAGTTGTTCTTGGCATAAGAATAATGTATTGTGGGAATGTAGCTTTTGCTAAGCAGCACAATGAAAATGACTGAACATTTGTACCTGTGAAATGTGAGTGACAGCATTTCTTTGAAAGAATAATGTCTGTTTTGTGATTATCTAACATGCTTTTAGTTATCTAACATTTTTCTGTTTCAACTGCATAGAAAAGGAGAGGTATAACCAGATGGTCTTTGTATACAGAAGACAGGGAAAATGTTTCTGTGTGTGTGATAACCAGATAATCTTGTGGTTATGGATAGGTCCGGAATGTAGTAAGTCAATACTTGTAAGGTAATGAGACACAAAAGATGTAATGTGATTGGATAATGGTTGGTGTGGACAGTTGACCACAAAAGATTGATATCAACTTCAAGTGTTTCATTGGATGAATAGATGAGTTTCTAAACTATCAATACACAATAAATCCTGTGAAGCACTTTGACTCATTCCGATGTGATAAGGCGCTATATCAAATGCAAGGTTTATTATACCAATTGCAAGGATTATTATTAATGTTATTAGACCACATGAGGGACTTTTTTATTTGGGTGCATAAATAAGTAAAGAGGACAACGAAAAGTCGGAACAGATCTGGGAAAGAAGAAACTCCTGTAACTACTTATTCTGTTCTCCGGATTGGTAATTATGCCTTTCTGCACAATTAATACTGCAATAAACTTTTGCAGTATTAATTGTACAGACAGGCAGACACAAATGTCGCTGTGAGCGAATGTCCAAATTCGCTTGGTATCCGAATCCATTGACAATTCATATCAACACTTGGAAGTATTTTTCATACTGACTATAAGGAGACATTTTTTTAAAAGACAGTGTTAAACATTTGATAGAATGCATTTGAAGCTGATACATTAGAAGTTGCTTATAAATTTGTATAGGAATACAGCTGAATTTTGATTTAACTTATTTTTTAGAATTTTTTTAACAATGTCGTTTAACATTATTTATACTATGAAAGCAAAGGTTTTGTAATTCATTATTATATACATTGTTCCTTATTATGTGGAGGAGGAATTAAAATGCAAAATACTGTAAACATACAATAACTGCTATAAAAACAGAAGTCGCTGGGAACACTCAGCAGGACAGGCAGCATCTATGGAGAGAAGTAAGTGAGTTAATGTTTCAGGTTGATGATCTTTCATCAGAACAACTACACTCAGCTGACCAAAAAAAAAGTAGTTGAGACTCAGCCTAAATTTAACTGAAACAAAACACGAAATAAAATGTACAATAAAATATTTGTTTTCTAGCAAAGTGGGAAGCCGAATAGTCTTCAGTATTTATACAGGTGGCCTATACAATAGTTTCTAATTGTAATGGGAAAAAAATAGTTAAAGAAATAACAAAACAGGTTTGCTTGACTGGACAGGTTGGACAGTCTAGTTTCTTTCAATGGCTGTAATCTATCTCCTTGTGGCCAGGAAGCCCATTATTTGTGAGATTGCAAATTTCACTATTTGTGAAACGACCAAATCGCTGAGTTTTCATGTAGAATTCCACCAAACAGAGAGGATATTTTTAGTACATCCATTTGGGTTGAATGTTATCCCATTTCCCAGAACTGATGGGGACAAGTGCTAACTCACTGTCTTCTTGAACAAGTAGATTTGTTCAAAACCTGCAATATGAGCCAAAGGCAAGGCTTGTTAGTCAGTCAGTCAGTCAGTCAGTTAGTTACAGTATTTTTTATGTAAAACTTGCCTCCTAGAACCAGAATTGAGAAAAAGTGCACAAGATTGTGCTGATGCTATAAATGTTTCACTGCAATGACATATTGTGAGAATATGTACCTGTGGGAATTAGTAATGTAATCAGCTGGACAAGAACCCATGAGCAAACATAAGCAGGTGTATAAATCTTTTTATAGTTTTTTTTAAAGAGAAGAGTTGGTGATGATGAACTATGCCACAGGCTGGTAGGATGCAAGTTAACACCTCACTACTTTCCTCAGAAAGCCAGCTGAGATTGAGCAATCTTTTGTGATACGTATATCTGTAGAGATTGCTCAATCTTCATTTGGCTGCCTGAGGAAAGTCGTAAGGGAAGTACTTTTCCATGGGGAGTGATGGAAAATTGGAATGAATCCATCATTTCAGGGGCTCTTCTGTACTGATGTGGATAGGATTTTTAACTTGGGGAGGTGAGCTGAGGAAATAATTTCTGTAAATCTTCTTCTTAAGCATTTGTTTCTGTTGTTCATAGGACCGTCTCCCCTGGTTGTGCATTTTACGAGACATACTAGTGAGGTAAGCTGGATCTAATGCACCAGTTATTAACCAGTAAAATAGACTGCAATGGTATATATAAAAACCTGTTATTAAAATAATAAAATGACAGTTTGCTGATATCCTTAATATACTAGTAGTACAGTTGGCTTGAGGGATATAATGTCCCTCTGAAGTTTAGGATTAATAAATCTGAACTATTTAATGTTACTACATTACAAAGGAGAGGTGTAAGGAATGTAGGGTTTAAGAAAAAATATCATATGTGGTTCAAATCAGCTGTTTAGATATGAAATGTTGAAATGCAAGAATTCTTCTTCTGTAAACTGTCTGGACGATTGTTGGCCAGGAGACTGGTAGATACTCCCTTCACTTTTGAATGGTGCCATGGGATTTTTAACATCCACTTGAACTGGAAAAGGTGTAACATTTCATCTGAAAGACAGGATCTCTGAAAATACAGTATTTCCCCAGCACCACACTGGAGTATCTTTGTAGACTATGAGCTGAAACTTCATCAGTTCCAGAACTCTAGTTAAATTTCTCCCTGTGGTATGGAGAAATCATAAACATTTTACATGAGTCTGGTTACGTCCAATAGGTTAGGAGAGAAAAAAAATTCTAGTAGGATCAATTGTAGCTATTTACAACTATCAAGACATCGCCTATAATTTGCTACGAGACCCAATAGCACCATGTGATAAATAGGTTAATTAGATAACTCACCTGATTACTATCCTGACTCACTGACACTTAAAACCATTGAAATAACTGGCATTTGAAAGTCCAAATTCCAATAGCTGTGTACTGTTACTCAACAGGAATTGCAATTTATAACTGTAGTAACTAGTGTCTAATCACTACCCAGGAGATTTCTGCGGAGTTAGAATTACAAGCAAACCACACTTGAGTTACATCACTGACACAGGGTGACAATTTAGAACCGGGGTCTCCAATGGGTCGATCACCAATGGCATCATCTCACGCATGCTAAATAAAAAAAGAGGAAGGAGCGATATTTACTAGACTTATTAAGGCCTGAGCCTCTACTTCACAGTAGATTTAAAAAAAATCATCCCATCCCCATCCCAAACTTCAGTATCTTCATGAAACAACCAGTGCAATTCCCCCCCCCATCTATTAACATTACAAAAATATGGATTCTAGTCCCCATTCTTTATTTTTTTTACTTATCTTCACCTTCTCCATTAGCTAGGACTGTGACTAAACAAATAATTCAGTCAGTCTCCCTTTGAAAAGTTGATCCATAGATCCTACTACAGGACACTGATAATGATTGACAAACTTGCCTCGTGGCTCATCAAATGGGACTTTGCAGTAGATTTGTTCTTGGAACTGAAATTCTCCTAGCTGATTAAACCCCAGTTTTTGCTATTGCTCACTTTGTGCTTGGAATGGAATGTCGGCATTAAGTCAATCCTCTGTGGCGTAACCCTGCAAACCAAAGCACTAAATGGATATGGTTGTCTAAGCTGGACAAGCAGCAGGAAGCTTGCCAGACAATGTTCTCAATGGCAACCTGTGTAGTTTTGGTTGGTTAAACTCCAGCAGGACCCTAATGCACACTCTGGGGTCCCCAATCCTTGGCTCTAGTCAACCTGTGCCTAATACTCTTTGAAATTAGGAAAGCAGAGTGCATCCCTCCAGACAAAGGACATTTTCCAAGTGGGTAGCATAGAAATGTGGAACTTTTAGTCTAGTTTGCAGTAATCTTAAACATATTGATGAGTTTTTGCATGTGTCAGACATCCAACTGACTAAAAAAATTTTAACTTTAAGATCACTCGTAGCTTTACTTTAGCACCTAAGCCTGTCATCTCCAGGCATATTGAAACAGGGTATTTGAGTTGAATTTTCTTCCCCCCACAGAGTGCTTGCAATCACCATAACTGACAAATAGAAAGTAAGCTTCTGGAGACGGTGACTGTTAAAGCACAGCAAGTGGTTTTGCAAGTGTCCCAGCTGACACAGACTTGCATCACATGATGCATACATCGTTTTTGTAGATCCTGAAAAGTGTGTGACTCTTGAATGCCTGACATTTTCAGCCAGTTTTTATAACCCCTTCAAATAAATTAGACGTGTACAGGAATTTGTTTTGTGCAGGGTTAGCCAATCTCAGCCGGACAGGATTTAAAAGTACTATAATTGGCCTCAGCACCCTGAGTTAGAAAAAAATTAAGTCTGCATTCATGTTCCAGATTGCTATCCAGTGACCCCCTGCTGTAACGTGTGTGTCCGTGTGCTTGGAGGGAGGGTGGGGTGGCTGAGAGAAATTTGTGCATAAAAATTGAAAACCAAGTTGTGGGCAGCTTTGTGCTGTGAATCCCTACCTTCTTGGACCTGACTATCAGTCGGAATTTGTTTCTCCATAACGCAGCTTAGAAAAGCTTTGTCCCATCATTCTGGACCGAATTCAAACTGAAAGCATTGTGCTTACCCAGTGAGCAATGTAAATGATTACAATACTTTTAAATAATCCACTTTCTTGCGTAATTTCAAATGACCACAGTGGTCCTGACCAATCAGGAACACTACTTCCTGAAGCCAAAATTACTCTTGCCCAAGAATACCATATTCAGTTTTTCCCTGACTATTCAGCGATCAGTTTGTTCTTAAAAATTACAAAATAATCATACATCATTCAAGTATACACTTTGTTTATACAGTTTTGTGATAACTCAAACTAAAATACTTGCTCAATGTTTCCTTTATATTTGTTCATTTTTCCTGGGGTATTGTAAAATTATCAAGTCTTTTTAAATTAATGATTAATTTCTTTAACTACAGAGAAAAGTTGCTGGGGAAAAATATGATCCTAGCATGTTCTGCTCTGAAGAGAATGTATCGAAGAGTCTTGACTGGCGAGCAGAGTGCAGCCACCGATACCGAGACAAGTCAGAACCAGGAATATGCAGCACCTGCCTCCAGCAAGAATGAGATCTTGTTTGTGTACTTGCATGGTTCCATGGAGCTGATTTCCAAGAGATTAGAGAGTAGAGAGGGACATTTTATGTCACCATCTTTATTGCAGTCTCAATTTGATACTCTAGAACCTCCAGATAAGACAGAGAACTTTATGAGCATCAGTGTTGAGAAAAACATCCTGGAGATAGTAACAGAGATTATGCAAAGGTTGAACTGCAATCTTTGATTTTAGTAAGACCATATGAGTTATTGCCAAGGCATGGTCGGAAAACTGTGTCCAACAGATATAATTATTCCAGTGGAGAAATATCCATGTGCATCAAATTCCTATTGCACAGGTATGTTAGGGCAAATTAATACCATGAGACAACTTCAGGTGATTTATTTTTGGGCTACTAAAAGCTATTTAAATGTTTTCAATTGAAATAACCGTCAGAAATAGAAATGTCAAACATGATTGACATCTACACGAGATAGTCATAACTCACTTTGGCTTTGTCACTTTTTTTTAACCTTAGGATAATAAACAGCTAGTTAGCATCCATCACAGTAATAACTAATATGAAATGCATAATGTAGACACTCTGCCCTCAGGTGTCAAAGAGTTTTTATGAAAAGCTACTTACTGTATTAAAGTAGAATTTTCTCCTCCTTTTTATTACTTCACTGCTTGTTTCAAGTCAGACCTCCAGCCTATATTAAAAGGGTGATGTCACTGTAATAGCCATCTCTTTGGTGCCTGGTCTCCTGAAGCATGCACTTAAACATAAATGTTTATTACATTTGGTTTGAAAGTTCCCCGCAGGTCGTAAAGGTTCAAACCATTGATTCTAATTACAACAAACTTTACTGGGACCCCGTTCCCCCCCATCCCGCCCCTCCAACATTTAAGGTGTGCTCTTAAATTCTCTGCCGATTGATCTATAGATAAATTTCTAATCAAAACTCCATTCTGATGTTGCTTGCATTTTCTTTCAATATTGACATTTTCTCAGTAATTTTAATGTACCTCCCAGAAAGATTCTAAGTAAAATTATCAGGCTTGTAAATCCATTTCTTCAAAGCACAACATTAAAATGGATGGTTGAGTGTTTTCAATGAGGAAACTGTAAAGATTAAATGTCTGAATATTCTTGGACTATGTTGCAATTTGCTGTGCAAATATGTTTTAACTATTTTTAAACTGCAGTTCGAATACATACATTAGAATATACACCACAGAAAGAGGCCATTCGGCCCAACTGGTCTATGCCGGTGTTTATGCTCCACATGAGCCTCCTCCTGCCCTTCCTCAACTAAGCCTTCAAGCATAACCTTTTATCCCTTTCTCCCTCATGTAACTCTCTAGCTTTCCCTTAAATACATCTATACTATTTGCCTCAACAACGCCTTGTGATAGCACATTCCACATTCCCACTGCTCTCTGTGTGAAGAAATTTCTTCTAACTTCCCAATTTGAGCTATTCGTGACTATTTTATATTGATGACTCCTGGTTTTGGTCTCCCCCACAAGTAGAAACATCTTCTCTATGTCTACCCTATCAAAACCTTTCATAATTTTAAAGATCTCTATCAGGTCACCCCTTACCCTCTTTTCAAAAGAGTCCAAGTATGTTCAGCCTTTCCTGATGGGTATAACCTCTCAGTTCTGGGATCATCTCTCTGAATCTCCTTTGCACCGTCTCCAGTGCCTCTACATCCCTTCTATAATGTGGGGACCAGATCTGCACACAGTATTCTAAGTGTGGTCTAACCAAAGTTTTATAGAGGTTTACCATAACTTCCTGCTTTTCATTTCTATCCCTCTAGAAATGAACCCCAAGGCCTGGGTTTCCCTTTTTTATGGCCTTATTAACTTGCGTTGTACTTTTAGTGAATTGTGTATGTGTACCCCTAGGTCCTCTACCCCATTTAGGTTTTTATTTTCCAGGATGTATGTGACTTATTCCTTCTACCAAAATGTACCACTGCACACTTTTCTTAGTTTTTAAAATGGAATAAATACAAAAAATAAGTGCTGCAATACCTAGTGCGGTTGACAATACCAGTGTAACTTGTGCAATGTAGACGGAACACTCTAGAAACACAAATAGTTGTCTGAGTCAATATAGATAAAAGAGAAACTGTAAATACTGGAAATCTGGATTAGATAGAAAATGCTGGAAATCTGCAGCTGGTTTTGGATGTGCGTAGTGGAGGAAGACGAACCACTATTAAAGTGGGGGAGCTTCAACACTTTTGAATTGTTTATAAATCTTAAAACATGGAGATGAGAAGGGAGCGTGAACATGGATGGAACAGTGTGAAAATAATTGAAAACATACAGCAAAGAAAATTGAATAAATGTTATAAAACATTGTAATCACGGTCAAAAAATCAAAGGGTTCATATTATGTACTTCATTAATAATTTGGTCACTCAATCCATGACTGTTTGTGGGACACTGCTGTGCACAATTGACTGCGGGGTTTCACCCACAAAATATAGTCAATTCACTTTACAGTATATTCTGTGAAGCGCTTTGAGACGTCTCAAAATACGTGATAAGGCACTATATCAATTTCAAGGATTATTATGTATTAATAAGTCTTCCATCTTCCTTGTATATTTTTACTTCCCCTTGGGAGTCTTTGAATTCTAGCTTGCTCTTTTGATTGTAGCTTTTTCTCTCTCTCACCCCCCCGATATGTTTTTGCTTGGCGAGTCAAAATACATGTAAAAAATCGCATCCAAAGTACTATTGTGATGAAAATAATCCAGGCACACAAGCGGCAGAAATAAAGCTACAAGTAATTTACTATTTTTTCTAGCTACCATTGGAGATGGTATTTCTACAGAGACCATTAACATACTGAATTCAACATGTACTTTACAGTAAAAGCAGCCCGTGGTTTCTGTGGTCTAGCTTAGTTTGCAGAACTCTGCCTCCCTACCTCTGCCCTACCCTCCTCACAATGAAGGGAAATTGTATAGTTGATGCATTCCATACTTTCTCAGATAACCATTGGAATCTGAACAATCTTTTTGTAGCAGCCTTATTCATTGGGACTTCTGACTTTAAAAAAGAAATCACACATCATTTCTAATTCAGTTTAATGACCTGTGCACATAAGTAAATACTAATGATAAAAACTGAAGGGTTAAATATTTTTGTACAAGGCAGTTCAGAGAAATTATTAGATTAATATTACAAGAGACACTTTAAAAGAAAAGACATCTCAAATTACAAATCATAATGCACATACAATTTATGCTAGGAATCAGCTGGCCAAAGTCAGTCTGCGGTAGTCAAAAGCACACATTTATGAATAAGGTGCTCATTTAAGCTGCACAAATATTTTAAGTTATCCAGAATTAGGAAGCTCAAAACCACTGCAACTGCCTTAACAGACAAGAAAGATACTGTATTGGGATACTTTTCTGTGAAATTATATCGAATGCAGTACATTTGTGTATTTTATTTTGCAGATAAAGCAAATAATAAATATTAGATTCAATGGTGTCCTGCATTTAGTTTATTTTTTGGGTGCTATTTGTTTGCCATAAATGCATGCTTCGTTCACAATACACAATGGATGATCAGTCACTGCAGCTTTGATCAGTTTGTTCTGCTTTTATAGTTTTTATTCTATACAAATTACTATCGAGATGCTACTGCTTAAACAGCAAGACTTGAGATTTAAACAGATTTTCAGGTCAGACCAAAAAAAAACTATTCACATGACTTGAAAAGCTCAAATGGGTTTTGAAAAGCACAAACGCAACGGAGAACGAAAATTTTGATGCATGCAACATCTCCGACCAAATCCCAGGACTCAGTACTGTACAACAGCCTCACTGCATTCACTATTGTAATGCATCAATTATCTCACTCTCCAAATACAAGACCCAATCTCAAAAATCAAGCTGAAAAAAGCATTTTTTTAAAGATTTAACTGCTGTTATATCAAAAATAAATTACAATTTCTTTGCAAGCTGGAGGAAGGTTGCTAAGACGGTTGAGAGCCCAATAGCCTTTCTATGGCTGCGTTGATGTCTCCACCTGTTGCTATCAGAGCTTGAAGGTTAGCTTCTCGGTTGAGAAATCCCATGGCACTGAGCTGATCCAGTTGTTGCTGAAACCGTACTTCAGGGTTCGGAGTCATTGTCTGCTTGATAGTAAATAAAAGCAACAAAAGAAGAACATGTCACCAGCTATCACCCTCAATAATGAACCAAATGAGACTTTACTGGAGCATAATGAGATCATGGTAAAAACAAATAGCCTGCTGCTTTTCCAGCCAGAATTGTGCAACTGTAAATAAAGATTCACTGTCTACATACCTTCAAATGGCCTGGCAATCAATGAGACAAAAGTTAGTTCTTCTGCTCTCAGGACATGCGCTGGCTGAAATCATGTGAATCTTCTCAAACCTCTAGTCATGATTCAAAGCTCATGGGCTTTGAAAAGTACAAACCCAATGGACAACGAAAACTTCATCCTGATGCTACATAAAACCCTGGCCCTTACTGAGCAGTCAAGATTCATCTGGGATTTAGTACCATAACTAACAATGCAATTATTAACTGAGCCATTAGGCTGTTTTTTTAAATGATTATAAAAAATTAATTTGCTTTTTATCTCATTGTTTTAAGTCTCAACTCCCAACATAATTTCTCCATATATTTTGGGCATATATGAAATGACAGCCTTTCTGTGCTCCAGTTGCCCAGGATTACTGGCAAGAGTAATTCTATGGATACCTACACTCTTGTCTTGTACTGTCATACGTCTTCCCATCACCTTGTATAAATAGTAAATCTCACAACAAGAATCTACACTAAAATTTTCAGGTTTCAGACAAGTATTTTAAATTACAGAAATAGATTAATTAGGGATTGCAAGCAAGTTTGCAAGGAACTTGTAAGATTTCTAGTTTACAAATAATGTATTTGTTCAATGTACGTTGAACAAGCGTGTCTGAGTTCAAGACCAGCACCACAAACATCCCGCTCCTTCCCCAGAATAATTACTCAAGAAGTTTCTGTGTGTACCTGTGAATTAGCTCCTGCTAGCGCCTGCAACATCTGCTGTACGAAATGCTGCTGTCCAGCCTCGGTTGTACCCAGACCACCTGTTGCACTAGTACTGTCAGTTGTGCTGGAGGCAGTGGTGCCAAACTCTCCAGGACTGTTAACCTGCCTTTAAAACAAACACAAAACAGCTCAAACCAGGCAGCAAACATCTGATATATGACACCTCCCTGGAGATTTCCACACAGTTTTGGAGATTTACAACTCTGCCTGCAGTTAAGTACAATTTTAAACGGAACGCCTAGACTGCTTGACCCTCAGAAACAATTAAAGGTCATGAATTAGTCTGTCCATTAACAAGTTCTCTACTTGATGTATTAAGAGAATTGACTTAGTGGACCTTTCTCCCTTCAGTAAATGCATCCCTCCCTCTGGTAGTATGTTTACTCCAAGAGGGAGTAGGACATATTACAGAACTCCATAGAGTGACTACAATGAATACCTTTGCTAAAACAGAAAGTTCTTGCAGAAAGTAAATGACAGCAGTATGGCTTACAACTTGCAAGCAGCATTTGGGATTAGTGCAAACCCAAGAGATTCAGGCTTCTGGCAATCAGGCAAAGAGCAAAATTGTCTGGGAATCGCTTCACTACAATGCACACTTACCCTGGTAGAAGCCCAGGGGCCTCTGTAGCTAATGTCTGCAGACCTTGCTGAATTTGGAGCAAAGCCTGCATGGCTCTCGGGTTTGACATAGCAGACAGTGTTTCAGGGTTCTGCATCTGAAAAGAAAAGTGGCACTTAGTTTAAAAAGGTTGGATTTCAGTTATTATTTTGCTACTATATATACTTCTACAGATACATGACTGGTTCTTACATCCATGTTGCAGCCAGACTCTGAAATATGAAGCTAGGACTAGCACTTCCAATGGAGTTTGTACTGAGGATTCTTCATTCTTCAAATGTACAAATTTTACAAAAAGCCAGCTGCTCCCTTACAAAGGTGACAGTTTAATGTGAGTACATCATCCCAGATTTAGTTGGATGCTTTTCAAGCCAACAACAAAATGGCATTTATATAGCTAAAGGACATTCAAAGGCCAGTTATATTGGTACATGGGAAAAGGAGGAGACGATTCACCCCTTTGAGTCAGTTGCACCAGTTTATTTCCCCACCTTTTTTCCATAGCCCTTAGTACTGCATTTGTTTGGGGAGGAGGGCAAGGGCAACAATTACCCTTACGCATAGTTTACAAAGGAAGTCTATAAATGAAACATCCTTTATATAGGACTAAGATGAACCTAAGGCAAGAGTCATGAGAATACCCCTCACTTTATAAGGGCTCTATTTTACCTAGGCATGACATTGCTCATGATAGATGAATAGAAAGCTATCAAATCACCCTCTGGTATGAAAACCCCAGCTGGTGCACTTCAAAACATCAAAAGACTCCCAGAAGAGGTCTATTTTTCCCTTAAGTGTCCAACTACAACTTCTATTGGAGGAGAAAAGCCAAACAAACAGTTAAAAGCAGGGGTTTACCATGAAGTGACGTTCACACTTCCTGTGAACCAGGAAGATTGTGTGAAAGTTAGCCAGGAATGAAGCAGATCTCTCTACATCAGGGGTTCTCAAACACTGTCTTAGGGAGTCCCCGAAGCTAACCTAACCACCTCTGTCAAGCCGGTCTGGAAAGCTCCTCCTTTTAAAACTTTAAATCAAGTGAAAAATTGATATTTTATCAGTGCAAATCAGATAAAAAGATTTATTACAATGATGTTGTTTGACGGGGAATGTCATTTGTAAAGTAAGCTCAAGTGGGAGTGCATGCAAAGTTTTAAAAATAAATTCACCAACTGTTTTTAAGCATCCATGCTAGCATATGCCCACCTCGAAACTCACCTTACTGCAATACTAATAGTTCTGGAGCAATGAGGTGGATTTTGAGATGTCTGCAAAAAGTGGGTACCCGAAAATAAATTTTGGGATTTTTCATTTTTTTTTAAAAATGTTAAATTTCAGCCGAACCCTCCGTCCCTCGATTGTTTCCTTCACTATAGAAAACATAGACCCTGATAAAACCTGAAAAGTACATAGTTTATTTTGTGGATACAAAGACCAATGGTCCTTTCATATATATAAAAGCTCCAGAGGGCAAATAAGGTTGACAGCAATAAATGAACACTGAAACTCAAGTAATTTATAATAATAATCCTAGCATTTGATATAGTGCCTCATCACATCCCAAGATGCCTCAAAGAGCTTCACATGGTTTACTGTAAGGTGTAGGGGGCAAGGGAAGAAACATTTTTTTAAAAACTCTTACCTGCTGCAGAAAATTAGGGATTTGTTGTCTCATTTGGTCTTGTAGCTGAGGATTTCCAGCAAACAGTGGATTGTTCAGCATGATCTACAATGTACAGATCTCTATTAGTTTGTTTGGAAGAATAGGTTGTGAAACAATACAACAGATTTAACTCAGTTTCTCAAATTCCTGTTGCAGGGCGATCTTATTTGGAGAAATCTGTCAACCAAGGCCTTAAAAGTCTTTACAGTCTTCGCCTTAAGATAGTTGCCTTAGAAAAATAGAAATAGGCCATATAACCAACCGAGCATGTCTTGTGAGTTTATTAAATCACAGCAGATCTTTTAAACCCATTTCCTCACCTTTCCCCTAGTCTTTAAAACTTTGCAAGTGTTTGCCCAGTTATGCTGTTCTGGTCTTTGACTCAACTGTACATCTCTCTGTGCAACCAATTCTTAACAGAAGACCCTCTCTGAATGAAATGCTGTCTGTGGAGAGCAAGTTTGAATCCTGCGGGGGGTGGGGGGAGGGATGCAGATTCAGAAATACTCATCAGGAATTTTACTCGATAACTTTTCAAACAGCATATATGCAAAACTCTTCCTCTATTTTACCTAGGCATGACATTGCTCATGATAGATGAATAGAAAGCTATCAAATCACCCTCTAATATGAAGGCTTCCACTGTAGAATATATCATGCAGAAATGCAGAATTACAAAAATTGGTTTTAAATTCCAAAGGTGGTTTGCTACAGCAACCAAAAATAACTTATCCAAACTTTTGTTCTGCACAAGCTGAATGGTTTTAAGGCCTTTGATGGGATTACTGCACTCAAATCCAAAATCCCCAATTTAGTCAGCAGCACAGTTAACAATTATAACTGACTTATAAAACAAACACTCAGGTATCAATTATCATAAGTATCATGCTTTACAATATTGTAATTACAAATAAATATTTTAATGTTGCTCTTTCCGAGGACTTCAAGTCTGAAACTGTAAGCAGAATCTCATTTGGCTTAGGTCTCATTATGATTTTATTTTGCATGGTGTTTCTCATTTGGGCTGAGTTGGCCCCAACGTGATGTGTGTGACAATGGAATATCAGAATCGAGTCAATACTCTGTGGTGGACTTGGTAGTCCAGTCCCTGAGCCAGGCCGGTCCGTGTGTCACATCAACAGTATTTGGAGAAGACCAGGTCCTGGAGATAGGAATTTATCCACTTAGCTGCAGTTGACCTTGCAAGCCAAAGCTCTAATGGACAGGGTGATCCTGGCTGCACCAATTAAAAGTGGCCACTCAATGAGTGCGCACTCTACTCCATACAAATGAAAACATATATATGTGGGACTCAGTAGTTTGGCTTGGCTGCTCTTAACCGTGGTGATGGGTTTCCTTCTGCATGTCAGACACCTGACTGACCTAAAGCAAGACTGAAATTTCTTTGTTGCCTCAGTCTTTCTTCCTCCTACAATCCACAGGCTTTTAAAATCCAAGCTTTTCATCATCGGCCCAGAACCCTGAATTATCTCCTATTCCTTTCAAGCTTGGAAGTATCCTGCATTGTGGGTCATGGACCTTGAATTTAAATTTGAATTTAAAAATGATTCTGTACCTGTGATGCAAGATCTGGGTTCTGGCTCAGAGACTGCATCATACTCCTCATGTAAGGTGCTGAGAGCATGTTCTGCATCAGTTGTGGGTTTTCTGTGATCTGTTGCAACAAGCTTTGCATACCCGGTGTATTGAACATTCCAGATCCTGCTGAGAGAGAAACCAATATGTGTGTATATATATATATATATTATTTATATATGATGAAAAATTCAAACAACAGGAAGCATATTACTGAAGACAGCTTCTCCTGTGTGTAATACAAAGGTTGAAATAGTTGCAACCCCAAAACCAGGACATTGGTTAGTACAAACACAATTCTCCCATGGCTTTTGAATTGTATCATACTCCTCAGCAATATACTGGTAGGAAGAATCTGTAATACGACCTTCTGAGGTTCTTAATTTCGCATAACACATTGCCTTTTCTAATTGTAAGTACTGAAGGGTTGCTAGTATTGCACAACTAGAACAAAAGGGGGTTTCCTGGATTTCCACAACTCATTAAACCATAAACAATAGTTACCTCCCAATCCAGCTCCCAGGCCTGGCATGGTAGGCTGACTTGTGGTTCCGCTGCCACTGGTGGAGGTGCTGGTGTTGGTGGTAGAAGACTGTGAACTGGATGGTGGTGGAGCCCAGGGGTTGGGCAAAGGGTCTCGATTTTCTGTACGCAATGGTTGGTTGCCCCCGTCAGAATTACTCACCAAAGATGCAAAAGGGTTGCCGCCGAACTGCAGAGGACAGGAAATATCAATTCTGAAATACCCATTCACCATCGTGTTTGCTAAAGGAGATAGGTTGTGTACATTCTTGTACTGTGTGCTAACAGTTTCTTTTACCCATAGTCTGCTGCTGCTCACCAGTTAAATCACATATCTCAATTATCCACTTACTGCATTCAAATTCTTAACAAGCTGAAAGCATTTGGCTGCAAGGCACAAGTGTTTGTTTTATAAGTCAGTTATAATTGTTAACTGTGCTGCTGACTAAATTGGGGATTTTGGATTTGAGTTTTTTTTCCTGAAAGTGAATGGATTTTGAAGCACATCTGAAAAAACAGGAAGGTCCACAGTGATCCAAGGCACTGTCACTAACAGATTAATAATTATTAATGAATTAACCTGTCATCTCATCAATAAGACTAGAGGTGTAGACACGTCCTTAAATCAAATCAAAGATGGGTAAAGAAGTCTTAGCTTAACTAGGAAGAGTAGTAGGCCATTCAGCCCTTTGAACCTGTTCCACCATTCAATTAGATCATGGCTCATCTGTACCTCCACTAATTCTGTCAATTCCAATTTCCCACTTTTTCTCCATATTCCTTGATACCCTGACCTACCAAAAATCTATCAACCTCACTCTTGAAGGATGGATCCAGCATCCACAGCTTTTTGGGAGAGAGAATTCCAGATTTGCTATATTGCTATAATTATATTATATTGCTATAATTATTTTATTGACAATTTCACGATCCAGGCTTTCAAAGATGGGCCAGTGTGATGCTGGAGAGGGGAAAGTCTATCAAAAAAATACATAGGTACATAAAGCAGGTTATAGGGAGTTCATTCCATTTTCAACCCTATGACTGCCAAAGCTCTTGAAGTAATTAGGAGAGAGATCAAAGCCCCCCAAGAAAGAGATATATAACATCCTTGCATTTGACTTAGCACCTTATCACGTCTTCTAGACATCTCAAAGTGCTTCACAGAATATACTGTACAGTGTATGTTTTGTGGGCGATCATGAACTTTCAAATGGTTGTGCCTAACATACTGTTGAACATCGATGCAAATGATTGTAACAAGTGCAACAACCCTTTTTTGTCTGAGGAAATAATTCCATTCATCTGATGAGTTTATTTGCTGGCATCTGAAGTCTCTGTGTTGAATATCAAACAAGCAAGGCAGACACAATTCATATGAGAAGACAAACCATTGGTTGGCCTCCTTTATTAGCGGGTTGTCCTCCCGACATGAAAGGCGCTTTACAAATGTAATTTTGTTGTTGTTGTTTAGTAGCGGTTATTAAAGTATTTAGTAAACATAAAATAATGTTAAAAAGGTCAGAGGAAATAAAGCAAATGCAACTGGAATCAACAAAGAACCTAAACACACCACAGACAATAAGTAGATATTTTAGAATATACACATTGGAAATAAATGGCAAAAGATAACATGATTTGATTATTTGTGGGACACTGCTGTGCGCAATTGGCTGCCGTATTTTGCCCACAAATATACAGTCAATTCACTTTACAGTCTATTCTGTGAAGCGCTTTTAGATGTCTAGAAGACATGAAAAACCGCTATATCAAATGCAAGGATTATTATTATTATTGATTATAAATTCTTTAAACTATGTAGTAATTATAGGTTTTTACAAGTATAAAAGATTTCTGGTCTTTGCACACAATGAGTACATTTTTGAGAGGGAAAACAAGTTTCATTGAATCACATGAGAGCTGGTTTATTGAAAGGAACTGCTTCCTTGGGAATTATACATAAAGTTTTGATTTTGAACAAGTGTGTTTCTCAAATTTCTTTTAAAATCTGTATCTATCTTGAATCTAAATGTAATTCTTTTAATCTCAAATGCAATTGGCAAAGATGAAGCAGTTGTATTGGACTGGGTTTAAATTTAATTGCAGCCCATACCTACAATTTACATTTATATAATGCCTTTCACTCCAGGACAACACCCCAAAGTGCTCAATACCTATTGCACAAGAAGTGTAATGATTTAACCATAAAAAACAGAATTTGGGCCATTTGAGTAGAATAACCTAATAGCTCCTAGGTTGGCGCACTTGCCTCGCAAGCGAGAAACCCCGTGTTCGACTTCCAGCAGGGCAGTACGTTGGGCAAGTTTCCTTACTCCACACTCCTGTTTACCCAGCAGTAAGTAGGAACCTGGTAGGTAGTTGATGGGCGGATTGCTTTTCTGGGGGTAATAATTCCTTCAAAAAAAGCTAAATTGGTCACTCAATTCACAACTGTTTGTGGGACACTGCTGCGTGCAATTGGCTGCTGCGTTTCACCCACAAAATACAGTCAATTCACTTTACAGTATATTCTGTGAAGCGCTTTGAAATGTCTCGAAGACATGGTAAGGTGCTATACCAAATGCAAGATTATTATTATTATTATTTTAACAGAAGATGATTTACATTTTTTTCCAGCTGAAAACCGATACTGATTGGCCACCTACCTGTTCCTGAGCAGCATTAAGCATCGGCTCCTGGATATCAGTGTACATACGCCTTAAGGCATTGTAGCCACCTGGGATACTCTCCAGGTTGCTCAGTGCTCGGTCCTGATTCCGCATCATTTCCTGCATCATTGCTGGGTTTCGAGCGAGCTCTAAGGTCTAAAGAAGTTGAAAACTTGAGAACCATATGACTATATGTGGAGTACAAACTTTATGAAAATACAACCTAACATGTAATTCAATCTTCAGCTCTCATTAGCAACAAATGGGGCTTCATTCTCACTTAAACTTTGATCAATAAATTCAGTTAACATTTAGATTATTTTATTGATTTTGTCTTAAATACATCGGCAAACAAAAGGACTGGCCAGCCCAGAGAAGGTGGCAAAAGACAGAAGGAAGTTGGAAAACATTTAAGAAATGAATGTTTATACAAAACAACATTAAACATGGGGCAAGAAAAGAAACGGTTAGCTTGGCTCACTCAGTTGGCAGCACTCTCACATCTAGTTCCAAAGTTTAGAAATTCAAGACCAACATTAGAATCCCATTTTCTCCCTGCAAGGTACACAAGAGCATTTGCTTTCATGCAACAGTCATCTTACATGGACATCCCTGTTCTTTAAGAACTTACTTGTCTCATGATATCTGGGTTGTTAAGCATGTGACTGATCTCTGGGTTTCTCTGGATCAGCTGCTGCATCTGTGGATTGGCCATAATCAGTTGTCTCATCAGATCTGGATTCGATAGCATGTTCTGCACAAATGGGTTCTCCATGATCTGAGACATCATCTCCGGATTTGACATCAACTGCCGTTGCATTTGAGTCTGTAACTCCATAAAGTTGGCAGAATTCAAACCCATGCTGCTCAAGCCTGCGAGACCTCCCAATCCACCTGAAACACAATGGACTTCATGAAACAGCCTGCCAATGACAACAACTTTCATGTAAAAGGGACTTCTTACAACACTACAGGATGAAATTAATTAGAATTGAAGTGAATGTTACGGAGGCAATCGTGGCATCCTACTTGCACCAGAAATATGTGGCAAAAAGGTGAAATGAGTAGCCAATAGATTTTCTTTGTGGAATTTGGATGAGGAGGGAATATAACCTTGAAAAACAATGAGAAGTTCATTTTTCTTTGAGATCCAGTTAAGATAGGGAACAGGGAGGTATTAAATAAATTACACAAGCTTAAGGAGGACAAGGCACTAGGCATAGGTGGACTACACCCAATGATCCTTAGGGAAACTAGTAATGAGACAGCTGAGGCCCTAGTATTTATATTTAAGAACTCTGCAGAGAAAGGAATCGTGTCAGAGGACTGGAGAATGGCCAATGTAATACCTATTTTGGGTTCCATTTTTTTCTTGATTGAATATTTCTTGATTTATGGCATGAATCAAGAAATATTCAATAAAGAGAATGTATCTTGATGGCCGACCAAAAAGGTTGGCCACCGTTGGTCTGGATGGTATGAACCTAAGAAGAGTAAAGGAGCTAATAGATCTGGGAGTCAGATCCACAAATCTCTAGCTACACAGTAGACCCAGCTTTTAAAAAATTCAATGGGGTTTTGGGCTTTATATCCAGAGGGATAGAAGAGAATATAGAAGTAAGAACAACAAGATTCCATTTATAGAGCACCTTTCACGTCAGGAGGATGTCCCAAGGCGCTGTATAGTTCGGTCAGGACCCGAGCAGGGGGGAAATGGTCAGGGTGAGGGAAGGGAAGGGGATAGAGAGTCGAGAGGGGAGCTGAAGGCACAGTCAAAGAGAAAGGTCTTGAGACGGGCCTTGAAGGAGGAAAGGGAGGAGGCAATGCGAAGGCACTGGGGGATGGAGTTCCAGAGCCTCGGGGCTGAGAGGCTGAAGGCCCGGCCACCGATGGTAGGGCGGTTGGGGCGAGGGATGTGGAGCAGACCGGAGCCAGAGGAACGGAGGGTACGGGCAGGTAGGTAGGGGGATAGTAGTTCGGAGAGGTAGGAGGGAGCAAGGCCGTGAATGGCCTTGTAGGTGAGGATGAGGATCTTGAATTCGATCCTCTAGGGGATGGGGAGCCAGTGGAGGCGAGCGAGGGTGGGAGTGATGTGGTCCTGGTGCGGGACAGTACACGAGCTGCAGAGTTCTGAATGACCTGCAGTGTGGAGGGAGGTGCCGGGAAGGCCGGCGAGGAGAAAGTTCCCATAGTCCAGCCTTGAGGTGATAAAGGCATGGACCAGAGTTTCAGCAGCGTGAGGGGTGAGGTAATGCCGTAGTCTGGCGATGTTCCGGAGGCGATGGAAGGCGGTGCCAGTTGTGGCGCGGATATGAGGGAGAAAGGACAGCTCAGGGTCGAACAGAACACCGAGGTTCCTGACTGGCTTTGAGAAGTAAGGAGGTGATGCTGAATTTATACAAAATCTTTATGGAGTATTGTGTCCAATTCTGATCTCCACACTATAGGAAGAATATAGCAGCAATGGAAAGAGTACAGGGTAGGTTTACAAGGATGATACTGCAGGTTACTGCTAACAGGATAGACTGGACTAGTTAGACCTTTTTCTGCTAGAGGAGAAATTTAAGGTGGGACCTAATAGAAGTGTTTAAAATTATAAAAGCGTTTGATAAGGGCAGCGATCAACAAAGAGACTAAGTATCATCACCTCTACCTGTAACGGTTAATCTTTTTTGTTCTAGCTCCTGTATCAAAGACGCACTGTAAAATCTACCATCTCTATGATTATCTGTGGAGTTTATTAATTAAAAATCCAGTGGGAAACCAATGATTAATTCAGTTTCCATAATTACAAGAGTCTCGAAATTAGACCGGAACTGTGACTTCTTTGTGAGAAAGTACTCAAATCTTGTAGCATTAATATCGTCCTTGCAGGTGCCCAAGCTGAGCAAGTCAAGTTGAACTCATCCACAATCAGGGGACAGAGTTTGTGACAAGATTAAGCCAGGACAGACTGAGAGCACATGAGCTATCACGGTCCACAAATAGAAGGTAGGTTGATACCTGGTGTAGCTGAATCTTACCGAGGTTGAAGGGGTTACTGGTGGCATTGGTTGAAGCAGTGCTGCTGAGTGGGGGTGTGGTTGTAGTTGTAGTTGTGGTGGTGTCACCACTGTTCGCAGGCTGAGCCGGCTGCTCCTGAGCCCTGAGAATTAAATAAGAGTATGATTTAACTTTTTTTAAAAAAATGCATATATTATAAAATAAAGGCAGGCCTAAAATAGGGGAGGAGGAATAAAGAGTGAATGAATTCTACAGAAGTAGCTTACTGATCAAACTGTTTAGGCTTGCCATACTGTCCTGCATCAAAGATGAAGAAATACTTAAAATTATCATGTTATCAGCAAATGCTTCTGTTTTTAATCTATATTTATTGTCTCTGAATGCTCATTTTATAACTAGTGGCAACATTGAGAGGGACCCTTCAATTAAATGACATAGACAATAGCCTACATAAGGGCATAGTCTTTCACTACTCCATTTGTCAGAAAGATTCCAGTTCAAATAAAATTTGCAGAAAAACACATCATTTAAGCAGCAGATGACAATTACAAACAACCCAAAAATGTATTTGCAGTTTTCATATTCTTAACTTTTTATTTAACTGTACTTCAGCCTAATACTTCTATCTTAACATCCAAATATTGCTAGTTATTGCTTTAACTAAACTTTACCTGTTTTGAGTTTTGATGACCAGGTGAACTGTAAGTCCGTCATGTATGCCATGCTGGGCAAGCGTGTCCTGATCTTTCAGGATTTTTCCAGCAAATATCAGCACGAGCTGCTCAGGCTGTGTATTGAAACGTTTCGAGATATCTTCCTTGAACTGTTCAAAAAAGGGAGAAAAACATTGAATATTGCACAACTTCTCAGTCCCTACTGGAATGGTGCAAAGATTGAGAAAACATTGCAATCTGTTGTCCAGCAATGAATGTAAAAGACAGGAACAGGAATATACCATTACATTTTCTCCACTATTACATCTAACGGCAACTTTAATTCCATTTTCCCCCCTTTTCGCCATATAATTTATTATTATTACTTATAAAGTAACCGTCTTTCTCGCTTGAATGCCTCAATTCACGATCAATGGTTTTCTGAAACGCTCATTCTTCAAATCTTTGTGCAGAGATGTTTTTTACTGGACTACCTTTTCACTTTAGGTCTAATATTAAATTGATGTCTGTTTGTCCTGGATTCCCTAACAAGGGTGAAGAGTTATTCCTCATTTATTTTGTGTATGCTTCATTAATGGAAACACCTTGCTCAGATAATTCTTCAATCTCAAACTCCAACTAATATAACCCCAGTTCACTTAGTCTCTAATCAAAGTTAAGTCATTTCATCCCAGGAATCATCGCTCCACTTCCTCCAAAAAACCATATCCTTTCTCAGGTGGGACACCCAAACCTGTACACAATACTCCAAATTATGTCCAACCAACATTCTTACACAGCATTTTACACTACCGCCACAGCGCTGCGTTGATCTTATGTTCTGTACCTGTTATAAAGCCAAGCTTCCAATTTTTCTTCTTAACAAGAACAAGATTACGTTTGTATAGTGTCTTTCACGTCGGGAGGACGTCCTAAGGCGCTGATCTTATAATCACTTCCATACCCATGAAGAACTGAATGTGATTTACAATGACTTGTACCCTGTGAAAAACGCTAATGATATTCTTTGTTTTATACGTAGGGACAGAACGTACAACAGTAAAGCAATATGCTAAGTTCGTCCAAAACATTGGTAAGACAGCAACTGGAGCACTGCCTTCAGTTTTGGTCACCTCACTTCCAGAAGGATGTAAGGCATTGGAAGGGGTGCAGAGGAGATTTACAAAAATGAGCCCAGGGATGAGGGGTTATTGTTATGAGGAGAGACTGGATCCATTTTCATTGAGCAGAGAAGGTTTGAGAGGGATCTGATAAGAGGCATATATAATTATGAGGGATTTTGACAGGGTGAATAGGGAGAAATTATTTATACTGTTTGGAGTCAGTGACAAGGAGAAATAAATTTAATATAGCCACAAGAACAGCAAAAGAAGAGTTCAAGAGGTTTTTCGACCCATAGAATTGTTGGGATGCAGAATACCCTGCCGAATAAGGCAGTAGAGGAAGAATGCGTTGTGGGTTTCAAGAGGCAAGTAGACAAATATATGAAAGTTAGAGGCTTGAAAGTGTATGGGGATAGGGCTGGACATAAGAACATAAGAATTAGGAGCAAGAGTAGGCCATTCGGCCCCTCGAGCCTGCCCCGCCATTCAATAAGATCATAGCTGATCTATTCTAACTTCACCTACCCGCCTTATCCCCATGTCCCTTCATTCACAAGAAATCTATCAATCTCAGTCTTGAATATGTTCAAGGTCTGAGCATCTACAGCCCTTTGGGGTACAGAATTTCATAAATTCACTATCCTCTGAGTGAAGAAGTTTTTCCTCAACTTAGTGCAAAAGGGCTTACACCTAATTTTAAGGGATTGAAAGTACAATTTGAGAGCTGCTGCAGACTTAATCGGTTGAATAGCTTCCTTCTGCACTGTAAATTTCTATGATTTCTCTACACCAAGATTCTATTAAATTGATTAGGTATGACCTATTCTTTACAAAATTATGCTATCACCTGTCAACGTATATTTGTCGAGCATCTCTGATAACCCAGTTAAACTATAGTGAAGGAAGTATGGAAGCAAACTGATTCTCAGAAGCAAGTAAATGAAGCACAAAACAAGACTACCACAAAACTTTACCAAGCATTTTAGGTCAACACTACTTATCAAAGGACCTGAAAATAATTTCTTATTCTTGCATCAGAACACTATCTTAGTAGTTTTACGTAGTGTTATGACTGTATGCTCACCCGTTGTTTCCATCTCTGATCAGTCAGTTGAAATACAGTTTAAACACATTCCAATAGTCACAATTAAAATTTGATTCAGACCTTGAACATTGGTTCAGGCCCAGAACATTAGGCCAGTGCTCAGTGCAAGTGATCTAAAGCAAAGTTAAAGTGGGTCTTCAAGCAGAATTTGAAAGCGGGGTTGAAGCAGAGGGAGTCGGGGAGCAAGTTCCAAGAAGGGCAGTTTTGGTGACACTAAATTGGAGTAAGTTATGTCTCATTCAGGACTTGATGCTGCAATCTGTCAAAACAGTTGAGGGTAGAGGTAGAAAGGTCGACTGTCATCCACCTATATATTGAAGTGGACCGCATGCCTTTGGATGACGTCACTAAGGGAGAGCGTGTAAATGGTGAAAAGGATAAGTCCCTGGGAAACTCATATGACTGTACAGAAGAAGTCATCGGGCAAAATAAAATGGACACTGGGTGAAGTAGGTAATGAAACCAGGAAAGTGAATCAGGGAGAGATGGTGGAGAAGGATAGAATGGTCAACAACAACAACTTGCATTTATATAGAGCCCTTCACGCCAGATGGTGTCTTGGTGTCAAAGGCAGCTGAAATCAAAAGGACAAATAATAATCCTTACAAGGAGGCACGGAGAGCCCAAGGCACAGACAGAGATGACGGTTGTGAATTACCAAGAATGTGGGCAGCGTGGAATTCAGATTAGAGGGACACATATAAGGAATGGTAGGAGAGAAAGGAACAAAGCTGAAAGGCAGCAACTCATTGGTATAATGTTTGTGTAGCCTGAGACCTTACTATTACAGCACTAATCGAGGCACTGTAGAGGAAAGGGCAAGATTGGAGATGGGACAATAGCTTGAAATTTGGGATCAGTCCAGTGTAGGGTTTTGGAGAACCCAAGCTCATAAGTGCAAAACCAGTACAGTAACCTCCCCCACCACCACCCCCTCAGCCAGTAACGACTGCTGGAGGTTAACTGGTTACAATCATATAGTTTTTAAAAAAAACTCACATGTACTTTTATAGGGCTTTTTATTAAGCAGATATACTGTGCTAGGAAAAGGATTATGCCACTCAATTGAAGATTGTGCCATCTCTCAGTTGACTAACCTCTTCAATTTCTTGTATGCAAATTATTCACGAAGAATGTACAGCACAAAAACAGGCCACTCGGCCAAACCAGTCCATACTGATGTTTATAACCCACACAAATCTTCCTCCATTCCTTACTCTCTCCCATACCTTCTATTCCCTTCTCCTTCATGTGAAGTTCTAGCTTCCTCTTAAATGCATCTATACTAACGTTATGTTAGCAGTCTCTTATAACCTTAAGTATTATATATAGCAATTGCCCACAATGCATCCTATGTGATTCCAGGACAGAGATCAGGTTAGATCCTTGGCCTGGGATTGCAAATGTTAATACCTGAAAGTGACTTGGTAAAGTTTTTGATAAAATGCCTAGTTCTGTAATATTAAGGTTTCAGGGCACAAAAAATATATACTAACATTAGAACAGCATAAATACAAGAGACATTGTTAATATTTTCATATAGAAGGATTAAGGTAGTAGCCTGGCTCAGTTGATAGCCCTCTTGTCTCTGAGTCTGAAGGTTGTGGGTTCAAGCCTCAAATTGTGACTTTAGGTTCATTGTGTAGGCTGATACTCCAGGGCAATCCTGAGGAAGGTGTCATTGTTGGAGGTGCCGTTCTTCAGATGAGACATTAAACTAAGGTCCCGACTATTTGTTTTCAAAAAGTAAAAGGAGTTTTCCCTGGTGCCCAAACCAAGAATCCTCCAGATAAAATTCGTCATTCACTTCACGGCTGTTTGTGGGATATTGAGGTACACCCCTATCTGCACTCATGCTCTGGAACTCCATCCCGCAGTCCCTCCATCTCGCCTCCTCCCTCGCCGCCTTCAAGACCCTAGTCTTCGACCGTGCTTTCGATTTCCCTGCTTCCCCCCCCCCCCCCCACCCCGCCCTCACCCTGACCCTCAGCTCAGGTCCATAACTCTTTCTGTCCAGCGTCTTGGGACGTCCTGCCGACGTGAAAGGCTCTATACAAATGTAGTTTTGTTGTTGTACACAAATTGGCTGCAGAGGTTTGGCTCAATTCTGACATTCCGTTGCCAGACATGTCACCTTGAAACCAGTTCAACTCCAAGGCATTCCCTTAAGTTTACATATGCCCAACTCTTCTATTCCCTTCCTGTCTGCATTGCCCGAATGATTATGTGTGGGACTAGCTCTTTGACTGCATTTAAAACCATCTGTATGTTACACAATATTAATGTAATTAAAACAGAAAAGCAAACATGGATTACTTACATATTGGATTACATCATATTACATAGTTGCACATAGCTGTTCAGATGTCAAGGTAAGAGGGCAAAGTTTGAGCGGTTTATAAAGTTGCCTGAGCCATAATATTGTATTGTACAGATTTCCCTCTACTATTGGAAGCATTTACCAAATGCTAAACTCAAAGCACAACAGGTGTCAACTTAAAGTGTACCCTGCAAAACTCAATTGAATTTATTCAAATAAATTACTCCGGCTTTGCAAAGATTGCTAAAACATTATAACCCAGTATTGGAAGTGGAAATACTTTGTGAAAAAGGAGCACTCTCTCAAAGGTATTCATCTTTGTGTGTTTTGCAGTATGTGGTATAATACTATTTTCTACCACTTTCCTCCGGTTTTGTTCCTAAAGTGTACAGTTTACAGAATTATGACCTTTCCAGTGACAATGGGGGCAGCAGCACATGATGCAAACAGAAGCTGAGGTGTACTTTTGTTTTGCTGTGTGCTGCCCAGGATATTCTCTGTTTGGCTTTCAATATAATACTCACAGTCCACCATACTGTATTTTGTGTAAAAAGTTATTTGAAGATTGCTTCATCAGTAAGTCATATTGGGCATGTACATTGTAGGATATCCCTTTAAGAA